GTGGGAAAGCCACGGGCGCCTGTAGCGCAGACAAAGGCCCCAGTGAGGGGCAAGAGGGGCCAGAGCATAGGAAGCGTGTGGCATAGGCCCTGGGGGGGCCAGCCGGTAAGAGTGAAGCCCGGGGAGGGCTAGCGGAAGTTTGGAGACACAAGAACGTCAGGAACAGCTGCGAGGCTTGGGGCGTGCTAAAGGGGAGGTAGGAGGCATGCATAGCTCATAAGGCTGGGGTGCACCAAGTCACCCTAAGATCACAGGAGATCATAGGCAGCCTCCCATATTACCTTATATAAGATCAAAGACGTGGCGGGCGAGAATTAGAGGGTGCTGATCTCCTAATTGCCACGGCAAGGGGGCGCTAGCAGGATTACGGCTGCTTCTAGGCCCCACTCCGTGACAGTTAGCAGTCAGAGAATGCATGACAATGGCAACAGATTGTTAACTTGTGTTGAAGGAATTAAAATACCAAGAACATTTTTGTTTTGCTTAATGTTGTTGACTTTGATCAGCTGATGAACCCACATGGGCTATTGCAAAAGGCCATAAGACATTCTGTTGACAGTGGCTGGCTCACCGGAGCTGTCACTACGCAGGTGTGGTGTGAAGCTGGGTGCTCGAACTGATTCAAGCCTATTTTTGTAGGCTTGTCCCTTTGCAATGTGAGAGGAGGATTCACAACTGTAGACTTCCACCTCCATATGGATCACAGTTTGCTATTTCCATTCACCAAGGTGATGGGGAGGTGGCCAGTCAGTATGTCTGTCAGATCACTGGCAGGTATTATCAGCTATATAGCACTGTCTCCTCTTGGTGGTTTGTCACTGTGCCCTCAAAGCTTCTTGTTCCAGGAGGTTTAACAAAGCCTGATAGAAGCTGACTTGAATGGAGACCAAATGGAAGAAGAGGCACTGGACTCTGATCTTATTTGAGTTAGAACTGTATGCAGGCCAGGCTTATAGCTGAGCTTATTTGTTCACATTCATTCTGGCAGGCATACAATAATATATTAATAATGTGAATTATAGAACATATATCCTACCTCATCTGAAGCTGCTGTCTCGAACATGCCACATGTTTTTACTGTAGCTGAGAGCTGTTTACTAACTAACTAGCAAGTCTCTGAGAATACCAAGCAATTCACAAAAAGTGAGCATGAGATGTATTTTTTCCTTAATGTTGTTTTTTTTTTAATTGTTGCATGTAGAGATGCTAGCATCTGTCTAAAATATGGTCCCCCTAGTACCTTTGCCATAATATCCGAGTGCTTCACAACACCCTTGTTAAGATAGGAAGGTGCTTATTACCCTGATGGAAAACAGAGGCACAGAAAGCATATGTAACTTAAGCTCTCACCAGGAGTCTATGGCAAGGCAAAAATTGGACCCAGGCTGGCCAGAGCCTGAACCAGTGGCATGTTCTTCCTTCTTGATACGACCTCAGGTGCTCACTGTAGCAGAAACGACTTTCAAAGGAAAGCCAATGTACACACTGAAAAAGAAGCCTATGTAACCAAATGCATGAGGCTCCAAGGTTTTAAGAGAACATAAAAATCCTGAGTCAAATATTGCTCTCATTTAGAAGCCCTGTAACTTCCGGTTGAAGAGGGGCATTTAACTTCTTGACTGACTAGTTTGGGAATGGGACTCTGTCTTCCTGCAGTTACCCAGGATTCCCCGTGGGAGAAAGCGTTCACCACGGAGCTGATGAAAAGAAAGCATGTGCACATACTTCCCTGTTCAGTGTGGTTCCATACTCTCACTGTCCTCCTCATTGCCCCATGCCACTCCCACAAATACCCTTCCTCTGTATCTAAGTTGGTAGGAATGGTGCTGTCGAAGCAGATGCTTTACTTCGGGGAGTCAGTTTTGGCAATCCCCCTGCAAGCAGTTCTCTGTAGTATAATCTGGCCCTAAATAATTACCAGCTACATAGCCAGGCAGCCATTGCAAACTGTTTAAAAACTGAAAAACTGCCCTGTGTCAGTTTACTCTGTGGTTATTCCACAGATGGGCATGCTGAATGCCATCATTACCACCTCCAACAGTTGTCTGACTGCAACATCGCACTGAGATTCCCAAGCCTCATCTCAGTTCATCTCATTCCACAAGTCATCGGCTGCAGTTTGCCAACATGCAGCCGAAAGAATTGGCATCTTCCTTTTCAGCTCATGCCTTTATGATCCTTTGAAGTAGCATTTCCCAAACCTTGTAGGGTTTATGCACCACTGTATTAAAGTTGGGCACTCTCGTGCTTCCTTTCTTCAGCTGTCACTTCCCACCACTGCTGAATCACCTCACCACCAGTTGCCACCAGTTCTCCTCACTGGCAGCAAGTGGAGGTGGGGGAAGCAACAGCAGCTGAAGTTGGGGGCAGTATGAGGGTGGCTGACAGAGGAAGGTACCAACTATTGTGATTCATAGGCTCATAGGAAACCATAGGCTCATAGATTGCATAATAACTCAGAAATAAACTCTTAGTCTTGTATATCGTGGGGGGGTGTATGTGTGGTGGGGGGGTGTGGGAGAAGTGAGTGTATGGTGGTGTATGTGTATGGTGGGGCATAGGATATGTTGGAGGGTTGGGTGTATGTGGAGGGTTGTGGGGGTAGGGTGGGGGTATGTGGCATTTGTGGGGTGTGAAGGAGAGTGGGGGGGGTGGGGACCTTCCCCACAGTCCCCCCCATGGGGGGAGCTTGGGGCACTGGTGCCTGGCTCTGGCCAGCACTGCACATCGCAGCGAGGAGCGCTGTCTGGCTCCCTGGTGCTCCCCACACTGGCGTGGCACTGGAGGGAAGCCTCATACATTGGAGCCGGCTGCCAGCCCCAGCCAGCTCCAGTGCATGCGACTTCCCTTCAGTGCCTGGAGAGTGCAGGGAATGCTGGCAATACAGACGGCCCAGCAGGGGGCCGTGCTCTTCGCGGCGATGTGCAGCGCTGGCCAGAGCCAGGCGCCAGCACAGAGCAAGAGTGCCTGGAGCACCCCTACTTGCTGCTGCCACCACTTGGTGCTAGAGCTGGGTGCCATGAGGGGAGCATGGGAGAGTCCCCAGGCCCCCCACCCTTATTCACACCCACTCCCTGCCCAGCCGAACTGCGCACTGCCACCGTCCCCCTGGACACAGGCTCTGCAGTGCCACCAGCCTTAGCCCCATGCTCCATGCTCCCACCTGGCTGCAGCATGGCCCTGACCTGTGCCACTTCCCTGCCCAGCACCAGCAGGATGCCAGGGAAGCCTGCAGCAGGTGCAGCAGCAACCCCGCTAGGAAGCTGCTGCTGGCCCAGCTGAGCCCTTCCACCCATGAGGGTGGGAGCAAGTTCAATAAGGTATGTTGGAGGCAGGTGTACATGTGGGCGCCTCGCTCCCACCCTTGTGGGTGGAACGACTGGGCGGGGTATGATTCGTTGGTGGGCAGGTACTGCCAGCAGGATGAAAGTGTCTGGCAGGCTGGATGCGGCCCATGGGCTGTATTTTGCCTGCCCCTGCCCTATAGCCACAGAGAAAAGGTTGTCTCCACACGCTCTATACTTCAGGTATTTGAAGACTGTTATCAAATCCTCCCTTAATCTTTTCTTCTCTAGACTAAATAACCCTAGCTTTTTCAGACTTTCCTCATAAGTCATACTTCCCAGGCATCTAATCATTTTTGTTGCTCTCAGCTCAACTGTTTTCAATCTGTCCTGGACTCCAGGTGGGGCCTCACCAGTGCTAAGAAGAGAGGCACAATCACTTCTCTTGATTTGCAAGTGACACTCCCGTTAATGCAGCCCAGGATGCTCTTGGCTTTTTTTGCAACAAGAGTACACTGTTGGTTCATATTCTGCTTATGGTCCACCATGACTCCCCAGTCCTTCTCTGCAATACTGCCGATTAGGCAGTCATTCTCCAATCCGTATTTGTGCATACTTGAGGAAGCTTCCTGGGAAGGGGGTGGGGGGGAGTCACAGGCATGTATTTTCAAAAACACTGCTGTGAAGCAAAAGCTGGTTAATCAGCTAGACCTCTGCTAGGTTCTTTTTTAAAGATATGGTGGGATAGGGTCTGTCAAGGAAGAAGTTGGAGGCGGTGAGGAGCTGCACTGACCCCATAGGAGCCCAAGTCAGCTCACATCCTACAATGTTCCTGTGCTTCCCCTTATGGTTTCATAGATCCCTGCATCTTTTTAAATGTCCTGGAAGAGTGTTAAAAAAGCCATGTTTTCCCTTTTCCTTTGCAACAGATATAAGCCTGCTAACTTTGGGCAAGTGTGTAGTAAATGCTATCAATTCATAACCAGGCAAATTAATCAAATTCTCTGTCAACTTTAATGAAGACTTAGGAGTCCAAGTTGGGCAAAACTGCTGGGTTTTAAAGAGGAAGAACATTTGCTGACAATATAAGGCTTCTGCAGGCACCCTAACAGCAGACTTTAGGCTGAATGTGCTGTGATTTATAGTTAAAGGCAGAGGCTCCTATGTAAATCACTGTTGTTCTGTTGAAGCTTGTGTATGATTTACTGCAACTCAGGACCACCCCACACAAAATGACACAAGTAGGCATTTTATTCTATAACATTTTATATTTAACTACTGCTATCAGGTCTAATTTTGGCCAAATCCCATTCTCCTTACACTTATGAGTTGTCCCATTCTCTATGAAGTGAACTGGATTGAGGCCTTTCTGTGTATTTGGTAACAGGTAAGAGAAACACTGGGCCTGGATGGTTTCGACAGGGGGTAATCCGTTCTTGAATAGGGGGTCCAACTCTGTATCCTCCCAAGGTCCTTTCCAGCCCTGTTTTTCTATGACTCTCTGCCACTAGATTTATGAATATTGTACATATGAGTTTTCTTTGTACAATTGCAGGTAATCAAAAGAAAGAAATGTTGGGTATCTAATCTTGCAACACTACTGTTGGCCCATATGGGGAATGGCCGTGTCTCAAATGCAAAGTTCTGCCAGATATTTTTCTTGAAGGATTCATGCAAACTTAATCTGATAGACCTATCCCCTCTGCTTTCTTTCAGGAACGCCTGGTGCTCTCAGTATTACCTCGATTTGTAGTACTAGAAATGATTAATGATATGACCAATGTAGAAGACGAGCACTTGCAGCATCAGTTCCATAAGATCTATATTCACCGCTATGAGAATGTGAGGTGAGTGGGACACCTAGGATTAATTTTGAATATTTTAACTTGTATTCTCTATCAGTTATTGGGGTGGGGGGTGTTACTGCTTCTTGACCAGTTCATTAATCAATGATTCATTAATCAATAAAGCTGTATTTTGAGGGTTGGAAAAGGTGAACACTTCAAAGCATTCTCTGATTTAGAAAATAACTTGATGCCTGTTCTACTGCAACAGCCCTTACAACTGAGTGATGCAACAAAAGGAAATGTTGGTGGGTTTATTAGTAAACGGCATTAGCGTTCTAACTGATCTCCTACAGAATCTCAACATGGGGAATGGCAACCTCTCTCAGCAAGTGGGTGGGGAGTTCATCATGGCCTTTCTCTCCTTTGGGTATGTCTAAGCTGGTCCTTAGCCACTCTTGCGACTGCTGCCAGAAATAGACCCCAACCTCCTGCTTCTGGTCCGTGTGCTCCAGGGCCAGAACTGAGGAAATAAGTCTTGAGAATGGCATGGAGCATGTGTAGACTTTCCCTTTGTTCACTCTTGAAATGGAAACGATGGCTAGTCTGTGGCCTGACCAATCAGATTAAAACTGTGGGACCTTAGCAAAAATATAAGGCTGCTGCATGGTTATCCTGATCTTATCCTGATTGCCCTTGTTTACAGTGATCATATAACCCAGTGGTCTCCAAACTTTTTTGATCACACAACCCTATCAGTAAAAAAGTTTTGAGCACGCACCCCCAATATATGTATAAATATAAATATAAATATAAATATAAATAGAAGTTCTAGTATTTTTTTCCTGCACCCCAATGGATTGTCTTGCACACCCCCTGGGGTGTGCGCACCCCACTTTGGAGACCACCAATATAACCAACATGACCATTTTCTCCTTTTCCTTGTCAGTGTTCAGTGAAAATACATTTATCTTGCTGGGATCCTTTGAACCCAGTTGACTTCCTGCCCCTCGGGCAGGGGCTGGACTTGATGATCTTCCAAGGTCCTTTCCAGACCTAGTGTCTATGAACTCTATGAAGTCTATGATCACAATATTTCTTATCAGGGAGTGTAGGGACAGCTTTTGTGGAGTTGCCAGTGTTGGCAATCATTAAGTAGTGCCACTGGGGGTATCTAAATGAGATGGCTATTGTGGAGTTGCCTAATAAGCTCCACAGTAAAGCATCACTGTTGACATGTACAAAGCTATTAGACCAGAGTAAAGTAACTCCATCGTCGGATAGTACTGGCTGCCACAAGTACTATCTTACAGCGGAGTTATTTATTCCACTTCATCGCATGTGTAGGTGTTGACTGAGGCTGGGTGGGGCATGAGGGTGCTACACTGCTGTCTAGCCCCACACTGTAGCAACCTCATACCCCAGCCAGCCCCTCCGCAACACGTTGAGTTGGGGCAAAGCAGCTCCGGGCTGGCAGGCGGCCCACCCTGGACACCATGCCGGCCGGGGCTTTACTGCCCCGGCTGAACATGCTGTTGTCCCAGGTGCATGTGAAGACACAGCGCCTGGGAGCAGTAAATTTTGGCATGATATGTGCCAGAGTTTCTTCATGTGCATTCATTTCACATGTAGATGCACCTATTTCATAGTACCAATGTGTCTGGTAGTGGTTAGATTTAACTCCCAAGAAGTTACAGAACCTACCCTGCTCTTGGATTCACATGGGATTCCCTTACCTCACCATCTCAGGGTTAGCCCATAAGCCTCCTGTGAGTCTCAACCACCACAGGAAAGGTAATCAATCTACCAGCAGACAGGCAGTGGAAAAATAAGCATTTCCTTATTAAGGTACAAGACTTAAAAGAGAAAGCCCTGTATCATAACTTGAAAAGAAAACCCATATATAGCTCTGGAAGGGTCAGTTCAATAAACAAGGCGTTCAGCTTCTATAAAGTGCAGATCAATTTTCTGCCATTTCTGTGCCCTTGCTGCAGCCCAGACATATTATTTTATTGATTCTGGCTGGAGGTACCAGGAACCTTTATAAAGGGCTTATGCAGCGCTAAAGACAAATTCAGTTTACTGCCTTTTTGCTATCCGCTCATAAAGTAATTATTATTGTAGGAGAATTCAAATGAAGGCTACCTTCCTGGGACTAAAATAGCACCCCCTTCCTCTTTGGAACATTAATTGTAAAGAGTTGTAGGTTTAGAGATGAAGTGTGAAAGTATTTCACGTGTCTCCCACTTGCAAGTGGTGATTCCTTTAGGATGAATTCTGAGTGTGCTTTCAAGCAGAAGACATTGGCCTTTTCCTGCACGGGCTAATCGAAGTTATTCAAGGCTATTCTAGGCCCCGGTTTTCATAGATGCCGAGCATCAACAATCCCTAATTAAGTCAATGAGGAATGCAGGTGCTCATCACCAGAAAAAATAGGCCTATAGTGGGTTTACTCTTTGGAATACTTACCAGAAGTATCAGAATAACAGGGCAGGTAGATATTGCATTTTTAAAACATTTTTTTTATTTCAATAGCTGTTTCTAGATTCATTTCTACTCATCATTCCTCTGTCACTTCTTAATGTCTTTTTTCGGTGAGGTATAATTGGGAGAACCTATTGGGGAAAATCCAGCTTTAGATAGGTAGCTTCTTAGTAACCTTCAACCAGTTTCTTGGCTAGCTTTTACAACTAAGGAAGTCATGAATTATCCTGAGGTGTACTTGGTAGCCATGTTGATCTGAGACAAAAAGACATACAAAAAACTAGAACTCTTGGTTCCAAAATGATACCTTTTATTAGACCAACTGGATCTAGTTGGTCTAATAAAAAGGTATCATTTTGTAACCTTTTATTAGATCCAGTTGGTCTAATAAAAGGTATCATTTTGGAACCAAGATGTTCTAGCTTTTTGTACGTCTGAATTATCCAGAGGCATTTTGTACTTTATTCCAATTTGAAAGCTGTTTGGAAGCCTACCAGTGCTTTGATCACTATAATAATATTAATTCTACATACCTATCCATTTTGGTATTTGATTTTGGGTTTTTTATAATGGAAAATCAGAATCCCCCCTACCTCCTTCACTCACCAGGACTCAGGTCCAGGCCTCTCACTCCCCACCCACAGTCCTGCCAGGAACCCTTACTCATTCCCCATCCACAGCCCCCTGGGTCCTGCTGGTACCCCTTACTTCCCCCCCTTCCCCAGTCCTGCCAGAAGGGCCCCCTGGCTGCCAGGGCTACAGGGCCAGGGACCCGGGTCCACAGCCCCCTACTCCCTGAAGCAGCGCCCGAGCCCTGGCTCCCACCCATGCAAGGTGGCATGCTTTTGTGGCAGAATGGGGAGCAGAGCCTGGCTCCCCCTCCCCACGGGCGAAGCAGGGGGGCTCATACCACCACTAGGGAGCTCCGCACTGCCAGGGTGAGGCACCCCCTGCCTGCCTGGCAGCAGTGCGGGGCACAACTCCATGCCTCTGCTCCCACTGCAGCCGAGCAGGCAGGGTGCTCTTTGACAGGGTGGCACAGGGCTTGCAGCAGCAAGTAGCTTCCCCACCCAGGTCCCCTCTCCAACCGTGCTTGGTCCCACCTGCCAGGCTGCGGAGGCCCCAGGAGAGGGCAGCAGGGTGGGAAGTGTGAGCCTGAAGCAGGCAGCCTGCCCCCACCCCACGCACAAATCTGGGGGGCATGTGCTCCCCTATGTCCCCTCTGGCAGCGTGCACAGTAGTGGGGAGCCAGCTCCCCCGGACAAGCCATCTGTGACCCCATCGACTCTGCCTGGGCCCCGCAGCCTCACATCCTAGCCCCAAGCCCCACGCACTGCCCCAGCTGGGCAGCAGCCCCTGTCCCAGCCCTGCCGAACTCCATCCCTACGGGGGCCTCACTCTCCTCTCCCCTTGCCCACAAACTTACCTGCAGGAGCTGTTCTCCAGGCTGCTTAGTGGCCATGTCCATTGTGAGCACACACAGGCACATGGTGTCCACTGTCTGACTGCCCTTGTCCGCTCCCCCCAGCCCCATGCAGGCTGGGATTCTGCCAGCCTGCAGAGAGCTCTTTGCAAAAGTGGAAAACCCATGTGTTTCTATGTTAAAATGAAAAATCCTTGCTTTCTCAGTTAAAAGGGAGAATCCACAGTTTTTTTCCATGTTAGCGTAGGAAACAGAAATCACGGATTCCTGCTCATCGCATTAGCTTCACCTTGCCTGTCAGTCTTCTCACCATGAAAATGAGAATAAGAATGCTAAACTGTGGGACTTGGCTGATGCTCTCTAAGTGATTTATGATCCCCAGATGAAATGGCCTTTGGAAGAACAAAACACACATCTTTTTTATGAAATAATCGTTTTGAGTACTTTTCATTAGTACCGTATGCTACCATGAATGCTAGTTCTGTAACATGCTCCTTTGTAATGTAAATGTTCCATTGAGTAAGGGCGGTAGTAAGGACCAGAAAACTGTAAAATGCTCCCTCCTTGTATGTGAAATACTGCATCCTTTCCTTCTCCTGAAATCACACCTCGGCCAGGCATCCAGACATTAGCTGTTTGCCTCTCACTCTTTTACCTAAGCAGAAGGAGAGGCCAAAGTAATCACAATGCGCAGGATTACTGCTTGTATTTATCATGCTGATTACCAGTGGAGATGGACTAAAATTTTAATAATTATTTCCCCTTCCTTGTTTAGCATTCTTTTTGCAGATGTTAAAGGGTTCACCAACCTCTCCACGACCTTGTCAGCGCAGGAGCTGGTTCGGATGCTGAATGAACTCTTTGCCAGATTTGATCGACTAGCGCATGTGAGTTAAATGTGGTTCTTCTGAGGGGGGTGATGTTCCATCTGCATTTGCGGGAGGCTCAGTTTTCTCCTATGAACGCTTAAAGCATAATCTATCTGGATTCTTTCCTCTGTGATTTGACATGGCTGCTAAGGATGAAGCTGAAAAGAGCTAGGCATTTAGAATTTGGTTCTGTGAGCCAATCAGAAGTTCAGATGTTCACTGGACTCACTCATGTTTGCAAACATACGGTGACAGCAGAGGTCTAACCAGATGTTTACTTCTTCTGTGGACCTTGTTGTAAAATAAAAGGCAAAACACTGAAAATCTCCAAGATTTATTTTGAGTTTGCTTCATAGTGCCAGCCAAAGTTTAGAAGATTTATCTGAATTATTTAGCTTTGCCCAGCGTTGTAGTCAGTGTGTTGAGTTAAATCCAGATTTCCAGAACCTTTTTCATATTGGATTATAACTAACTTCACACATGGCCCCATGGATGACAATGGCACGGGTGTCATCTGACATGAGACGTCGAGCTTCTGGTCTGCCTTTAGTTCAAAAATAGGTGTCCTTGAGGAAGGTGCCAGCCAATGTAAGAGTGGCAAAATCTAGCCCATTATAGACTTTTTTGGGACTATACTTGCTATGGTGTGCTGGTCTGGTGGCATCACTAATACTAATCTGTCTTAAAACCTTTTTTTAATATGGTCCTTTTATTTCTCTGGGTATTATGCCTGTTCAGGGGAACAGTGTGTATCTGCTGTCACTGGTACAATCCTCAGCATAACTTCTATGCTTGCACATTAAGGTCAAGAAAAGTGAGCCTCTACTCAGCAACTGCTGAATGTATTTCAGAGCCAACCCTTGCCATTTGGAATGGCAACATGCTTTGTTTTGGTTCATTATCAGTGCACGAGCATCTTGGCTAGTGAATTGAGATCAACTTACAGTAATTGGTATGCAAATAACAACAAAACAGATCCACTCTGCCATTTTGTCCACTGTTGGCTTGTGTTAACAAGCAAGACAAGTGAAAGGAGTTAGATTTGTTGTCTTCACCGCTTCTTCCTGGTCATATCACAACCTGATCTCAGTCACTCAACATACACATGAATTCACAGTCTGGGTGGGGAAGTGCCTTAGACTAGACTAACTGTTCGGTATCTTACAAACACTTCCCAAAAAAATAGTTTTCGTGCTATTATTTAATTTCACATTGGTCAAGTATGTTAGGGACAGTCTCTACATGCATGTATGACATGGACTTCTTTTCTCTCACTTCTACCTTGTAGAGAAAGGAATTAGGGGTGGAAGGGACTTTGTGATGTCATCTAGTCAAACCCCCCGCTCAAGGCAGTATCCTCCCAGCCAAGTGTCTTTCTGACCTACTCTTGAAAATGTCCAGGGTTGGAGAGTCTACAGCTTCTCTAGGTGGTCTATTCCAATGCATGACTGATCACCCTCATAGTCAGAAAGTGTTTCCTAATATCCAACCTACATTTCCTCTCCTGCAGTTTGAGGCCATCGCTCCTAGCCCTGTACCCTACATGCCCTATAGGATGGGAAAGGAAGAACTGCCTATGTGAGAGAGAGGAAGTATGCTCACCTCTGAAAATGAGCGTCACAATTTATTTCCTGGATCTGGTAGGGTCACATATTTTCCTGGGCCACCTTCTGGGCAGTAAATTGGAGACCCCAGGCTAGCCCACAGGACCCTAGGCTAAGCCCACAGGATTCACATTAGCCCTCTTTTGTGAAGAAATCATCCCTAGCACTATGTCTCTGTACCAGCCTAAGTGATCCCATTCTGACCTCAGCTTTTATCGCTTTCAGACACCTGTAGACTGTTATATTCTCTGAGACTCACCTCTTAGCTGTGATTTATGTAACCAGGTCTTTCAATACTAGTTAGCATTTATAACTCCACCAGTCATTTTGACATTGCCTTGGTTTGCCAATATTTTGTAGCAGAAAAGATTGTCACCTCTCTACTCTTTAGAATAAAGCTGTCTTTTCAACCCCAAACCATTAGCACATTTGCACCATGTCTGTTGGATAAGTCATTTTTATAAAATATGGAGGCATATGCCTACTACTCATGTTCCCTTTGTAGGTTTCCAAGATGGCTTAAAACACAACACATTTCTTCCAAATATGAGCAGCCAGAGAGGGAATAATCAGGTTAATCAGGTATAATCAGGAAGAGCTACTCCAAAATAACTCTACCTATAGACCAGTCCTAGGTGATTCAAGTCCACACAACTTCCCTTAAGACATATGCCCCTAAATCACTGAAGCAACAGAGGAGCATGCCCTAAATTTGGGACAAGCACCTCTTTTACCAGAGAATCTTTTTCCTATATGTTGTATGCAAGAGCTGCAGTAAAACAGATAAAAATATGGAAAAATATAAACCAATAAACAGATTCTCCGTTCTAAAACCCATAACCCAAATTCTCCTGTCAGTTCTATCAATGTAGTGTCATGGACCTCTTTAGGATGCATGAGAAACAGCTGCTATAAAACACAAACTAGTTAAATACTTTCAGACCATGCCTGCGTGGCAAACGTACCCTGTTTAGCAGCAGCCTCTTCAAACGCACTGTACTGCTCTGCGCAGATTGCCTCCTAGACTGGATGCAGAATAACTGTGTAGCACTGCATGTGAGCTGATTAGCATGGGACAGTCGCTCAGCAAGGCAATTTAGCCCTCCTAAACCACTACCGTCCTTAGGAGTCTGTTCTGCCATCGCTGCTAAAAATGTGTGCTCTCTGTTTAACTTGAATGTGTATGGCATTAACTTCCAGCGACCAACTCTTGCTATGCCTTTCTCTACCAAAATAAGCAGCTTTTTAGTACCCAGAATGTTTCCCTCTTTGTGTACTTATACACTGTAATCGATTCACTGCTCAATTCTGTTGCTGACAAAGTAACCAGACTGATCTCTCTCAAGTTTCCTGTTGTGAGGCTTCTTTTCTAGGCTTCAAATCATTTCTGTGCCTCCCCATGCCTCCAACTAGGTTTTCAAACTCTCTTATTAAATTGTAGACACTAGCAGCAGATGCTGTGTTCCAGCATGGTTCTCCAGAAGTGAAAGCATTTCCCTATTCGTACTCTGCATTGAGCTGTTTAGATGAGTACATGCACAGAGAACATTAACCCTTTCTTTTTTTTTTACCACAATGACACAGGGAGCTTAAGTTCAGTTATTTGTCTAGTCCGACACTTCTATCCTTTTTGTCATATCTGCTTAATAAACTCACGGGGCAGAATTCTGCTTCGCTCTGTGCACTCACATGGGAGGATTTCAGCCATTACGGTGGTATTTTTGGTGCTTAGGCACAATTTGCAATTCTGTTACCTATGCAGCATGGATACATAGGATGCCTATACACGTACATCAGGGCTGCTCTGCCACACTGTGATTACAGCGCGTTGGAGCAGATTCAATTAATCGATTAATTGAGTCTGCTGGAGGATGGTAATTACCATCCTCCAGCAGACTTCAGCACCACGTGTATCAGTGTCCAATGTTCTTCAAGCTTAGTTAAAGCACCCCTGCCACCATTTTCAGCACGGGGATGCTAATACACATGATGCTCAAGGCGCTTTAATTAAAGTGACTCTCAGAGGCGCTCTAATTAAAGTGCCCCCCCACACCCCTCCCAGAGCACATGTTTAAACACCCATAAGTGTTTAGTGAACACATAAATGGCAACTGAGTGAGCATGCTAGGAGGCTCCTAGCAGGTATGCGGCTCTGCAGATGCATCCACTGGGTATGTACAAGTTACAAAATTCTCCCTGCCAAACCCCGTGGCTGGCAAGTGTTATTCAGAGGATGAGGGCCTTCCTGCGTGTTAGTCTGAATAGCTGAGTATACTCCAGTATTCAGAGTATCCTCTGAATAGCTGGAGCATGTGGCACTTGCCTGGAAAGCAGAAAGCCCAGGTTCTAAGTCCCACCAAGGGTCACACCCACACAAAATTGAACCTGCAATTTTCCAAATTCCCAACATGATGCTTTGAACTACCAGACCACCGCTGGCCCTGAGCAGCCAAGAGAAGGTGATATGTAGAGCCAGGAAGAAAAGTATCAGCTAGAGCAGGGCTGTCCAGCTTCCAGGGCCACACACCCTTCGGGCCGGGGCTATGGCACCAGCAAGATTCATGAGCCCTGTAGGCTGCATGGCATCCTTCCCCACTGCACTGCACACCCAGGTCCCCCCACTGCTACACCCTGTGCCCAGGCAGCACCCCACTGCTCCAGGGCGCACTCCCCCACTGCACTGCGCTGACCGCACTGGTGCTGTCTGACTCACCTTTAGCTTCCCTGCTGTGGGCTCCTTTGCTGCTTCATGCCACTCAGGCTCCCCTGGCACAGAAGGCCATACTCCACCGTACTGCCCCCTTCCTCCCCCCAGTCACCAGTTGGATAGCCCTGGTTTAGGCAGTGAGCAGCTCAGTATCTCAGTTATGTGGATGCTGCTCTGGAAAGGAATAGGCACTTGGTTCTGGCCTTGACCTTTGTTCCCAGCAGGGTAGAAGCCTTACCACTGCTCTCCCTCCATTTTATTCAAAGAGCATTAAATGCAAGGTGCAGTGGAAGCAGAGGAAGATGGAATAACACCTGAAGAATACTATATCAAGGAGGAGGAATTTAGCAAGGTTGATTGCGTAAGATAGAATTTAACCCAGGATCCAAAGATAAGACCCCCATCTAATGCAAAAAGCATTGTGCGTGCACAGTGCATGAGGGATAGAACAGAATTGCAACACGCATACGTGCCAAAAATGCCACTTAATGCAGTTGGAGAATTGCTACATGGGTGTGGAGAAAAGTGAAAAAGGATTCTGTCCACTGTGTACAGCACGGTGCCTGGAAGCACACTTCTGCAGTCAAGGCAGGCTGCAACCTGAACCAAAAGCAGTCTAGGTTATGCTTACAGCTTCAGGCAGGCTGCTAAATGGCAGTGCTAGTTAGCCCTTCATGGTGCCATGCAGACATTATTACCCTGCACTG